TCTCTCTCTCTCTCTCTCTCTCTCTCTCTCTCTCTCTCTCTCTCTGTGCCACCTGGCAGGTGCAGATACACAAGCTTTCCCCCCTCCACGTCAAAATAGCGCACGACAGATATCGCACACTCGCCGTGCACCTAAATCCCCTGCACCGGTGTCGTCCGGGGAACCGTCATCAAGAGCAACAACATCCAACACCCTCACCAACCGCGAACAATCGGCGTTGTCCTGCTCGGGGGTAAAATATTCTGATGAAAGCGTGTCTTCGCTGTTGGCACATGGTGTGCAGTACTCTACAGTGTCTACACCGTCGCTGCTGTCAACAACTTTCGTTGGCGACCGGATAGTGACAGGGGTCTCACGTCGATCATTGACAGCTGTTGCCGCTGCCTCGTCTGCAGCATACATCAACGCCAACATGCGTAGGGCTTCGGTAGTTGTCCTCGCCATTCTAGCTGCCTACTCACGATACCGTCTCGTAATCGGACTATGCAGATGCAACAATCGTGGCCGTGATGAGATGGGATCCGTATACCATACCCTTTCGCCAGTCTCTCCGCATGTGCTACGACGAGCTGATTCTGTGTGAGGTGTTCTCGCTGTAGTAGTTCTTCGTGCCCCTCGCCTAGTCTGTCTTGCCCGAGCGGAAGGGGCGGATGAACGACAGGCCGTATTCGACATTGTCGTATGCTTCTTCCCGTAGGACGCACCCTCTTTTTTGTCCCTTTCAAACTGCCTTCTTTGYCGATGGCTGGTGGAAGGCAAACTCGGATGTCGTCTGCCAGGACAGAGATCGCAAGGGCATGTGGAYGTCAACGTCGCGTGCAAATGTGACGACAAAGGGCGTGACGCARAGCTTTMCCCGCAACAGATTCAGCGYCTRCTGTCATGCCATGCRCACGGTGTCCCGCCCGCCGGTCRTTCGCTAACAAACGCGCTCCACGGCCCAACCCTCGCAACACAGCATCAATGTTATCACCCCTGTCTATTAGAATGTTATGCAGTATACATACCGCATGGAACTGGTTCGACAGGGTCTTTATGTTGGCCCGGTGCGGTCTGTAAAAATTTTGGAACTGGCCTTTTAAAACACCGTTTCCACGCTCACTGTCAACACGCACCAATTTCAGACGCGAGTTAAACACAGTGCACTCGGGACTGTTGTATGTGGGACCATAGGGGGTGATTAGCCAAGGGAGTAGGGGATAACCAGCATCCCCTAGAAGGTAACCGCCAGGTACATTGTTAATACATGCAAGGTCTCTGTGTCTGATATCCTGAATGAAAAGGTTTCCTGAACGAGCACGTCGGAACAAGGATGAATTTTAAGAACCAAGGAATCATGGACTGTATCGGGAAGACCTACGTGCACGTCAAGTATACGAAGATTGTGATCGAACACGAGCTGCGCCAGAACTGAGAACCTCTTCGTTCGTGTCACCGCAAACATTAGCGGGCTTAGCAACATAAATATGAGTGCAATCAATGCACCCCCAGCAATCGGGGAAACCATGGGCCGCATAGTATGCCATGGAAGCCTGACGATCGGCGGCAGTGCCAAAGGAGATAGCATTAGGGAAACACTGGATGATGGCATCCGCCACGTCCTCCACGGATCTCAACC